AAAGTGCTAAATATTAAGTTACACTACTCATAAGGAGGTGCCATATATTGACTATAACAATTCTTGAACATAAAAGTAATGTTAACTCGTATTTGAATTTAGCAAATTAAACACAACAGGAGATTAATCATTTTTGAATAGGTAACTATCGTGAGACATTTAAGTGTGGAAGAGCCATGCTTCGGCACGAATGGGTCGGCTCGACCGGAGTGACACCACGGCCTCACAGAAAACCGGCGTGAAACAACCACAGCGTTGTGTTTCGCCGTGTGAGTGAGGTTACCGGAGGCCCAATCCTTCCCCTCCCCTAAACCCTCCTCAATTCTTAAATCTCCAAATCCCTAATCACTAAAAGGTCGGCAACGCATTCGTAACTCCTCCGTTGCGGGTGTCCATGGGCGGCGCTGATTGCTTACCATCAGCACAGTAAAAATATTATTATTACCTAGCCATCAGGTAATCCGTCTGCTCGTTTGAAGAAAAAAAATATACAAAATTAAAAATAACGACTTCACACAAATTAAAAATCACGAGACCTAGGCAACTGAGAAAAGGTTTTCTAGTTCCAAGTCATAATGGGACTCCAGGAGGAGATTTAATCATCAGTCAAAGTTTGACTACGATGCTTCTTTCCGTGGTCTACAATATATTTTTCTTTTACAGCATCGGTACTGGGTGTGACCCAGTTACTGGGCAGTTTCATCACGCCACCTATAATGGAGAAATTCGGCAGAAGGATCGCCCACTTGGCAGTCACCATGCCTGTCCTCATCGGCTGGTTCATCACAATGATGGCTACTAGTTACGAGGTGAGCAAAGCATTAATTTATATAAAAAAAATACTTAACTAATTTCAAACCATAAAAAATCTACTACTCCGCAAATAAAGGTTGCATATTTTCATTTCTCACTTCGGAAGTATAAATAAACTGATACTTTTTTTCCAGCCTTTACTTGTCGGAAGAATACTCCAAGGCCTCTCTATCGGCATGCTCTCGCCTCTGCGATCGATCCTCATCGGAGAGTACGCCAGCCCAAAGAACAGAGGAGCCTTTCTCACCACCGTCTCCTTGACACAAGCCTTTGGCATACTCTTCGTGCACGTGTTGGGATCTATCCTTAGCTGGCAGCAGACTGCTCTCGTTTGTGTCTTCTTTTCATTCTTCAGTCTCATCATGACCATATACTCCCCCGAGTCGCCCAGCTGGCTCGTCGCCAGAGGACGTTACGAAGAGTGTCGCGAAGTCTTCCATTGGTTGCGAGGCGAAGAGGAAAACGCAGAGTTAGAAGAAATGATAAATGCCAGGATGGTGTTCGAGAAGGCAAAACAAGAACAAAAGCTTGGCAGAAAACCAAACCGTATGAAAACCGCAATAGCAACGATTCAGAAGAAAGAATTTTACAAACCTATAATAATTATGATTCACGCTTACGTGATGGTGCAGTTCGCTGGAGGCACCACCATGGCAGCCTACTCTACCACTATCATTACTCTAATTATGGGTCCCAACGTGAACCCTCACTTCTGGATGATCTTCCTAGACACTCAGCGGTTTATCTCCAATACTATAGCAGTGTTTCTCATTAATAAAATAAAAAGACGAACCATGATGTTTCTCACAGGAGGGCTGTGTGTCCTCAGTCAGCTCGCGATAGCTTCTTATACTTATTTGAAACAAGAAGGCGTGCTCACATACGATGCAGTTTGGATTCCAGCGCTGTTGATCAACCTGCAGTTCTTCACAGTCGCCACTGGCATGTTGCCGTTACCGAACGTGATTGGAGGAGAAGTATTTCCTCTGGAGTACAGAAGTATTGGAGGAAGCATTAGCTTAGCTACGATGTCTGCTTCCTTCTTCTTAGTGTTAAAAACTTTCTTAGGTTTAGTTGAGAGTGTAGGCATACACGGTACATACTGCATATACGCGGGTCTTCTCACATACTGTTTACTGGTGATCTCAATACTCCTGCCTGAAACTAAGGGGAAGACCTTGCAACAGATTGAGGATGAGTTCAGAGGCAGGCCGCTAGCTCCTCGGGAGATAGAAGAGAGGATGGTATTCCAGTCCTGTCCTGTCCTCACGTACAAGAGGAACATGTCAGCTCGGAGGCTCAGCACTCCCCTGCTACATTAGCTAGTGGTACTTTCCAGATAATCGTCAATTGTTTTACGCTTTTGTAAAGATTTGGTGTGATATTATAGAGATAAGTTATCTGCAGTAGAACAATTTTTATTATTGTGATAAATAAGTACGTAAGGCACGCTGCTGTGTGATGTTCATGCGTCATATTCGTCAATATAAGACTTTAAACGATTGCTGGACTTTTATTTCGTGCAAGAATTAATAAGTATATACATCATTGCAAGTCATTCAGTGATTATCGCTGAGGAAAGGCTGTGGTTAACTGCAATCAATTATAAATGATGTTCATAATATTGTGGCGTGATATTAATTATACTATCGAATACCTACATCATAGGTACATAATGCAAGCAAATTAAGGTAGGTAAGTTGCATTTTTTAAGAAACTAATTAGTGTGGGGGAAACCCCGGGCAAATCCTTATTATTATATATTTAGGTACCAATATGCACATCATTTATAGGTATCTACATAGAAACCTATTGTATGTATAAGATATTGAAGAGCTAGTATTACGGATATTGTTCAGTTAAGAGCAACTAAAGCTCTTCATTATAATGATGTAGTGATTATAATGTTACAACTTAATAATTTGAGTGAAGAACAATAATAACAAGGTCACGGTGAAGGGCCACTTCTGGTCTAAACACTCGATAATGTAAATAACTAATTGTTTCCATTGTTCATTAGAGCAATGTTTTAATTATTAGATACTATTATGTAGATTTTGACGTTGGTACTATTTTAGAAATAGGGCATTAAATGAGCACATATGGATGGACGATGCCATTTTATATGAATGGAAAATCAACAAATGCCTTCTCCCACCTAGTCGAGGCGGGAGGGAATTTCACTCTTTCTGACTAAAACCTAAAGTTATTTTTCCTGCTGTAGGCCGAAGCCGTGGTGCCTCATTGCGCTTACCCCGCATAGGTACTATAAGGCTGAACAGCCCTATAGAGCCTTTTGGTAAGTGGTGGTCTATTGGATTGGCTCCTTAAAGCGCGCGCGATACGCGTTGCGCCGTACGCTCGGGTCTAGTTCTGGTCGGGCGTCGAGCTACCCTTACTCGTTGTCCGCAGACCCGGGTTTACGGTGGCTTGTGATCGTCTCTCGATCCTTATGCCCGGAGTGTTACCTACTGCGGCGGCTGGGGCGTAAGGCGGAGGATAGCTTCCTCCCGCGCTCTGCCTCCTCCTTTGCGAGCATAACTGCTTTGCAGAAAGAAGAGACGGCTTCCCAGTTCCTCTCGCTCCGCACCATAGCCTCAACTAGGGAGAAGTCGCCACCGCCGATCAATTCCCTGAGGTCACAACGGTGCTCGATCAGCCCAAGCAGGGCACACCTTATGCTCCACGAAGTCCTGGACGGACGGAGCCTGCTGGTAAGCACTCGGCACTGCTATGAACATCTGAAACACCAGTGAGGAGTTCATTTGTGGCCGGTTTTTTGGGGTTTGGAAGATTTGAATACTTTATCTGGTTTATTTACTGTTTTATAACGATCCGTTGTTCCATAAAAAACCGTCTTTTTCTGCACGAAACACAAATACGATCGCGATGTGGGTATGTTCTGCCTGTGAAAATCCTAAATTGGGTTAACATTTTACATAAAATAATACCTCCTGATAATCTATATTCATTCAATGGTAATCAAGGACAAAACCTAATATTTTTAATGGCCAGGCGACTACTTACCTACTGACAATTTATTTAGCATATTATCACCAAAGTCAACAACACAAAAGCAGTATCTACTATCAGATAACAGCCACTGCTATCTATCAGATAAGTTATTCGCGACCAATTGACATTTGTAAGTGTGTACTTTACTTGTTTTTAAAATAGATCTATATCTTTGAAAATTTGCTTGAATACATATGTATATATTTATATTTTCCCTTTAAAAGTACCTAAGGATTGTAGATATATTATATTTTAAACCTACTTTGTTAATAGGTAAGCATATAATCAGTTTATATTTAAAAGTTTTTTGTAGAAAGTATACAATTTTTAAGTAGAAAACCAGCGTCAAACAACCGCAATGTTTTGTTTCACCGTGTGAGTGAGGTCACCGGACGCTCAATCCCTAAATTTCCGAAACCCTCACCCCAAAAGGCCGGCAGTACTGTGCGCACTCGTAACTCCTCCGGCATGGCATGAATCCACGACCGGCGCCGATTGCTTACCATCAGGTAATTCGTATGCCGACTTGTTTAACACATAAAATTATTAAGTAGGTACAAAACTAAAAGAGACAAGAAGCTCTCATAACTAAAAGACTGACTTCATTTTATTTCTATTTATTCAATATTTTTACGATAGACATTGTAAGGGTTATCCATCTGGAACCAATATAGCGCAGTACTTATAGCCATTTTTTGAGGGAACCATCCAATCACTTCTTTTTTCCTGAGTGGAGCGAGAGGGATTGTCAGAGTCAAACTGGCTTCAATACACCCCGTTCCTGCTCCTGCTTTAGGCAGAGGCCGGCGCGATTGAGGCCCACCTGTGGTGGTCTGACTTACTTAACCTAGTCCATAGGGATTGTTTTAGGAATAAAATCGTTATTTATGATTAATTTAAATAAACAGCATTCGATTTTTATCTAATAAAAATGAACGACTCGAGAATAAGTAGTATGTATACTGCCATGAAGACTACAAAATTGGTATAAATTGGTTTACAATCATTTTAATTCCAGCCTGTTGTGTGATTGTGTAATAAATTGTAACCGCCATATAAGCTATACAATTAATGTGGTATATGAGCGGTCTTGGGTTCAAATAGACATCGAGACTCGATAACTCAGAAGGTTTGTAATTTAAACATAAAATAAAAAGGCAAGCATTATTTTTCTATAATTTTCTATATTTATTTGGTACACAATAATGTCAATCTGTCCAACGATACGGGACGACATCCATTCATTTACAAACATTTAAACAATTTAATTAAGACTTTACAACACGGATATAGTACAGATACAGTGCTCCGGTATTGTTGGACAAACATACGACTGCACTTAACTATATATACTGTACAATTATACGCGCACAGGCCGAGGGCAGACGAATAGCAGTGGGGAAACTTGTTGTACTATGAACCAACGTCAAAACTGCAAAAAAGGCTAACAATTACACAATTTGGCACTATACTATAAACAAAGCCTTCAATCAAAATAACAATCTCGTGCCAAATACAATAACCAGCATTAATTGTTCATTTAAAATGCATAATTAGGATTAAAATAACAAACCATACTCATAGGAACTACATATATTTCATTACAATTATCAAAAATAGTAATTATATATAATATAAATATTTTATTTTTATTAAAATATATAGTAACGTCCTACAAGTATTGTGGGGGGGGCATTATTCGTCGAGCCGGCGCGTGCGCAGCTATCGAGCATACATAAGATATTATTAAACATTAGGTCAGACGAGGGCTGCCAGAGATCAACATAATTTTGTGTTTCAGCCATGCGTTCGGTGCACTTGGTTTGACAATTAAAAACAAAACCGGGAAATTAGACTAGTAGTCACAAATCCAGGCTTTAAGAACCTTAGTTTGAATCCTAGATTCATATTAAGTAAAATAAATTATATACCAAATAAATTATACACTTTAAAATAATTTCCAATTATTTCTACTAAGTAGAGGAACACTACAAATCATTTGTAACATGCAATGTAAAACTAAATTATTTAAATTATACTTTAGTGGTAAACAACCATCTGCATATGCTGTAGAACTTACTTCACTGTCAAACCAAAAACACTTATTTAAACAAAACAATCGCACAATCTTAACGGTTCCGTAAACGTTGAGACTTAGCGCTAAATGGCTGACGACGGATGCCGTCATGATGCTTAAGAAGCGATAGAGTTCATATTGGCTTATCATTTGTCATCTTGTAATACAACTCCACATTGTGATTATTATTATATATATGTAAACTTATAGAATCAACCAATTTATAACAAAAAAGGTATAGGAAGTACTATTGCACTGTTTTTATAATATATTAAATTTAATTTTATATAGTATCGCAATGTAGAGTCGTGCTAGTACAGTAAGCGTATGAAATAATTTAAAATATAATATTTCCAGTGTAAATACAATGGCGTTACTAATTGAATCAATAGAGCCTTACCAAGCCTTAGTACGTGTATAAAACAAACCTTTAATAAATTAAGAATTTCACACGTGTTTTCTGTTGTGCAATATCGAATGTTTCTTATATTGCTATCTTTTTCTACGAGGCACGATTAGAATGAGACAGAAGAGCGACCACTGTCAAATATTAACATTTAAAATGTTAGGTTACTTCTTGATGTATCTATGTATATTCCTGTCTCGTTCTTATCTTCCTAGTTAGTAGAAAATAGCAATATTTGTTAGTTATATATAGATATAGTAATCACCACCAAATTGTAGGAAGTGTTTAGTTTTGTGGCGCCTTTCGGTTCTTGAATAGGTTGGTAACATTTTTACTTGGAAGACGGGTAAAATATATGCAGTATAATAATATTTATGTTCCTCTGTATTTGTGACTAATATACATAATGTATTCATAACTTTGTGCAATGCATAAAAGTGCTTAAAATTTTGTTCAATACAAGTTTATTAGTTCAAAAATTCGGTAAGTTAACATTAAAGGGCATTAAATCAAGTTACACTAAAACATTAAATTATAACTTAAGAATTGGAATAGAAAAGAAGATCTGGTAAGGTATTAGCTTTATTCAATCGTCTTATATTAAACTATTATATAAACATTGATTCACAAAAGAAAGGCCAGTGCATAAATATTTTATAGTAACATATTAAAACAGATACTAATTCAGTCAAAAATACATAAAATACTTCAAAATTCTCTGAAGACATTTTAATATCTGTAAAAATATGTTGCAAAGAGAGCGCGCGTCTAACTGAGTACGCTTGGACGGCTCGGTGAGACGCGAGCTTTCTTTAATATTTACTTACAAAGTTAGGCGACAGTGTCGCAAGCTCTTACAACGTTATCCTAACGATATCGGCGCGTCCGCCTCCATATACATACACCGAGCTACATTTAAACATTATTTACAATAAGATAAACGCTTCCGACCAATACAAAGCAGATACACAATAGTTTACTAATTGGTCTTACAACTCAAGCTTACAGGGAGAATGGTACAATGTCACTTCGCCGCCCTATCGACACAAGCATGTCGCGTCAATGAACTCTTCGCGTTGTTTCCTGTCTCGTGTCGTTAACCAGTATATAGTATGTATATAACAATAACCACGATTACTTTACATAAACTTAATTTTCGTGTAACAGTGTAAAATGTTGTAGAAAAGTGAATTTAACTATGACTTCGGTAATATTTTAAATTCATTAGTTTATGATGAATGACTGTACAGGTTTTATAGAAAATTTCGACCTAGTCGGCACTAGTCGCAAGTTACCTTAGTTAAGTTTTAGTAATTGAAAGTAATTAGACAATCGGCAGTGCCTAACACTTGAAACAGACACACCTCGCACACATATCTACTACTTAAGCTATCAGTTTCTTTGCAAAAATTCCATTACATTAAAAACTCTTTTAATTTTCTCGCTAAGGTTTTTTTAAAAAATATTTACAAAAAAGTTCTCGTCTATCCGAAGACCTTGTCATCGTGCCGCGGTCACCTAACATTAACATGAATGTGGCCAAACAGAACTAATTACGCTTTAGTACAACTTCGAAAATACAAAATTCAAATTCAAAATACCTACTACAATTATGCTAAGGGCACAACTACCGCTAATTACAAAAACAAGAATTAATATTTACTAATTTCCAACCGTACAAACTTGTAAATAAAGTATAAAATTAGTAAAAATAAATCTCAAATATTTGGCTACATTCAATATTAACATTGACAGGACTGGAAAATGTTTTCAAATATAAATACATTTGTTACTGTGACACAGGGATCTATTTGGCATTAAACTTTAAGGGCACAGCCAATTCAATTCAATATAATTATTTTTATCGACCTTTACAATCTGTACCAAATATAGATAATTGGCACTGTTGGAAACATTGTAATGTTGCCATTAACATTAATGATATAAAAATAAGGTGTTGCCCTATCAAGTGTCATACCAAACAAGCCGTCCAGGACTAGACAACATTACAAAATCACTACTTTACAAGTGGGTGCGCGTGCGCCGATCCACAAATACATACACCTAGTCCTTCATAACCAATTATACATAATATATTATACATAATTACATATTTCCCAGTCCCGATACCTTAATTATTTGTCAGTTTATTTTTTTATTAAAAATAGTAGCTCTGCCTATCCCACTTGTCGCACTCTGAAGAAACCAACTTTGACAGAAAGAGAGGCAAAGAGAGAGAGAGAGAGAGAGACGTGTATATTTTGCTAATATTTTAACAATAACATTGGTTTTAACATCTATATTGAAAATAATTACTGTAGGGGTAAATCACGAAATATTTCAGTTAACTAATGTACTAATTTGAATGTCTCGGAGGTATTGTTATTGAACTGGGTTATGGCTTTCGTAACAAATCGAGAAAAATCTAGTCTACAGTTTTATTGTTTACGTAGCTAGACTGAATTGAAGATTATCAGCTTATGAGCCGAAAAATATTCACGATTCTAGTACTTATTAAATAGGAGATTTTTGTTATTTGTTCTCTCCGCGTCAATCACTAGATATGATATCAAACAAACATATCACAAAGAAAATTCATTGACCTCTTACTGCTGGAAAAAGGCTAACCTTGGATTCCACCCAAGACACTGATGATGTTATCAGTATATTTCGTTGAAGACCTCTACAGTAATTAATAAGTTTCAGTTTGGGTTGGGTACGACTAAACACTGATCTAAACATGCGTTGGGACAACAGCCCCGCTATGGCAAAAAACACTTGAAAACAGTAAGATTTTATTGGAATATCTTCTATTAAAACATTGAACGATTGCTAATATATAAGAATCTGTATATTATGACACATCACATTGGAAAATCAACCTTAAGCTTATATACTAGGTATGAAAATCAAACCTCACAGTTTTAACATTTAGGGTTGAATTTTCTGTAAGGAAATTTGAATTTACGTTAAGTTTTGTCGCGATAATACTTACGATAATGTGTCATAACAATTCAAAAACTTTAATTTGATCTAAAAATCCATTGAATCACATTGAGATAATTTCAAATATATTTAATTATTCTACTACATTTTGCAATTACGACCAATAAATGTTCCCTCTCTTTTCATTATCATATATCTGAATCATACTATCTCGCTCAGACTTCAAATAATTTGATCTGTGCTATTTTATATTCTATATTTTATCCATGGGAACGTTTCCGTAGTGAAATCAATCGTAAGGCTTTGCAATAAGCTTCATTTTGTTATGTTTCACTAATCACGTGCTATCTCGAATTGCTCCTACGGCTGTCTCTCTACCCTTCAATGAAATGAAAGGAGTCAAGCGAACATGGTCCTAATACGGAACAAAATAAGATCTACATTACTTTGTTCAAATTTGTTACGTATCGTGAATGAGGATATTGTGTTTCTTTATGTAAATGTTCGCTCAAAACTCCTAGTTTAGCTCAAAATGTTGAAACCAAGTATGTGTAGTAAATTCAGTGTTTGATATTTCACAGAAATATCAACGTCGTAGTATATTTTTATTGTAGACATGTTCTGTAATATACTTAGATACAGTTTCATATTACTATGCGTGTATTTTATTTAAATAATATTATAAAAATGTACCTATGTACTTAATATTGCAACAACTGTGTCAAAGTCAACAATATTATTAAGATCCGGGTTAAAATTGAACCAGTTTTAAATAACAGTCAATCACTGAGAGTAAACTACATAACAAAACAGTGCAAACCGTATCACTTGTAGAAGGCAGGTGCAAGGCCCCCGTTGGTGGGTTGGTGGGCCCGGGGCCCTAGTGGCGGGCCCGCTGGGCGCAGGTCCCGCAGACGTAGTCGTCGTCCTCCCGCAGCGCGCCCCGGGACAGCCCCACGCAGTGCATGTGGAACCACTGGTCGCATCCTCCGTCGCATTGCACCCAGTCCACTTCCTTACCTGCTCCATAAAACATAATCATCAAATATCATTATCATAAATCTCTTTCCTTTGCTAGCATCGGTCAACCGTTTGGTAATGGATGGGCTAAAAAAAATGCATTTAACATAAACAGACTGACTAGGTTCTCTTGTGAGGTTTTACCCGCTGCTCGGCTCCATTTGATCGTAGTGTGATGTTTTATAGCCTATAGCACTCAGGAACATTGTAGCTACCTATCAGTGAAATAATTTTAGCAATCCGACCAGCTGTTTCAAATATTACTCGTACATGGAAACTTACAAATGTTACCTCTTTATAATATTAGTGTAGATGATGGTAATGTATAGTGTATACTGACCAGTAGGACGGAGACAGTTTTGCGCGGCGCAGTCCTCATCGTCCTCAGCGGAGGATGCGGACGACGTGCTACTGCGCCGCGCGCTGGTCGCGCCGCCCCGACCCGCGCCCGACGGACCCGCGCCCGCGCGCTGCCCTGTACCCGGACCAAATAATTGTCAAGAACATTCACAAACTTAAAATCAACTAAACCAAGTACAAATATGTTGTTGTAACTATAAAATAGAATAAATAACAGTCCAATCTGTGCGTCAGTGAAGCTAGGTCTTCGTTTTGAATAGTAAATATATCGGAAGAATGGGGAAGAACGAACAACTACTAAACAGTAGAAATCACCTTTCGGCAAATGTGTTTAGTAGAAATGCAATTTTGTAGCTTTCTTTAAAGCTATAAACAAAAAACAAATTATTCAAGTCCTTGAATTACTATTACATACAAGGGACATAGGGATTTAATCGATTCATAAAAACATTTATATCAATTTATAATTATCATATATTCAAGTAAGAGTGACTCACCCATCCTAGTCTGTCGCACATGCTTGCCCCTGGCGGGGGGAGCGAGGCCCCGCTTGCGACGCTCCTGCCGCGCCATGTAGTGCTTGCGCATCATCAGGCCCGATCCTGACGACATGCCCTGGGGGGAAATAAACCATTTTGAGTATAAAGTTGTAAAACAATGTTCAACTTTATTGCTTTAATCAACATCTGCAAGATTTTGAGCGTTTTATAACACTTTGTATGATTATTTAAACTCATTTGTCATAGGATATTTTAAATCGTTTAACATTTAGCACATTCTGATAAAATTCTTTTTGGTTTATCTGGTTATATTTCCAACTTTAGAAATCTCCCGTAATGCCTAAAAAACAAAAATGTATTTAAAAATGGTAACAGATATTCTATCCTCGATTATGAAATAATGTAAAACTATGTAACTTTTTAACAGTTTATTGACTTACGTAAGCCATAAGTAAGTATGTCTCAGGATATAAAATGGTCTGTTATTCAAAAAATTACTTGTCTTCTTACCTGTTTTCTATTGAGATAATTCGTAGTAGTAGCTGTGCCACGTTTGAGAGTCGGTTTCGCTGCGGGTGCAACTGTAAAAAATCAACATATTATGTATTATTTTGTATTTGATTGAATTATTACAATAATCACTGTGATTCCTGTTTTTATATAAAATATCATTATAATATAAATATTGTGTCAATAAATATCTTATTTTATAAATAATATAAATGTTTATATAACGCGATATTAGGTTTGCTAGCATTGTAGTATTGGATATGGGACATAAATTTTTATTTGTCGAATTTCTTGGACATTTAAATATATATATGTAAGTATACTTTGCAAAGTTGTTGTTGTTTGCAAAAAAGACACCGTAAAGAAAATTTATAACTGTAGGTGTTTTTTCCATTGGAAAGTTACAGCCATTAAGACAAAAACATAAGTTGAGTATGTTTTAATAGGTGTATGTGATGGATCGAGAGTATGATAGTATATTGATGTATTATATGTATATGTAGATGTAGAGATGTGGTACCGTGATGGTGTCGGGTCCGCGTCCGCTTGAGTGGGTGGTGGTGCCGCGGGGCCCGCGTGTGCCGCTTGCGCCGCCCCGCGTCGTGCCGCGCCGCGCGCTGCCCCGCCGCGCCGCGCCACCAGCACACCGCGCCCCACACCGCCGCCTGCTCCTCCAGTTTTACCTGCATCCAACCACACATTACTACCCTCATTCTCATGCATATGGACGTTCAATCCAAATAATAAAAATGTAAAGAAAAACGCGACAGAATAATATCTGCCTCTAGGATTCCTATCATACAAAAAACTCCATAGTTTCTCTTTATCACTCTCACAATTAATCACGATGTGTCATCAGCAAATAATAATATCACATGCAGTTCATTTTGGAATAAACGGGGCAGATGTATAACAAAAATAGGAATGATCCTAATATGCAGCCCTGCGGTACGCCCATAGATATACTAGAACCCTGTGAGTTTACATTGTTTAATTGTAATTTAAGTTGTCTTTTCTAAAGGTATGCCTTCAATAACTCTAGAGATACACCGCGAATGACCTAATATTCTAGCTTCTTCATGTCTCGTGCTCAACACAATCAAAAGCCTTGGTAAGATCACAAAATATTCCGAAGGTATCCTGTGCTTTATTTCAAGAGGTTAAAAATCTGTGTAAGCAATACCCCTGCGTATAGTCCAGCGATACAAAAAAAACGTGTATATAATACTACTAAAAAGGTATCCTTTATTAAAGCTAATACTGCAGATTGACTAGGATAAAATACGACAAATTACCTCTAGCAGATCTCCTTCGAGCATCAAGTCCTCCAGTTTCTGTAACAGTCCGGGCGCGGCTCGTGCGCTGGGAGATCTAGGCGTCGCACTATACGCGTGCTCTACGCTCGCTGAAGACCTGTCGAGGAGATAATTTATTTTTTTATTTCAATTCGAAACAAATCAAGTTATTTTGGCCTTCAGTTATGCATCATAAACATAGGTATAAAATAAGCACGAAGTAAAACACATAAACATTTTTATGTATCCTGTTAAGAGTATGGTCGAAGAGTTTCGAGTGGTAACAAAGTAATAAAGAGAATATGTAAGACAGTAAAGTGACCTGGCATTATGCGGTAGATGCGCGCGGCCGGTGGCTTTCTTGAGGTCGGCGTGCAGCTTGTCGGTGTGGGGTGAGGGCGCGGGCTGGGGCTGCGCGGGCTGCGAGGGGGCGGGGTCGCGCTGCAGGGCGGGGCTGGCCAGCAGCGCGCGCGCCGCGTCCTGCCACGCCATGGCGCGCTCCGTCACGCACTGCAGCGCCTCGCCCTCCGCCAGACGGACCGGCAGCTTCTGCAGCCATACCTGCGTTCCCACATAATCCATTATTATATTATCACAAAAGTACCTAGAGCCACACAATATCTTGTAATGTTATTTCCATGCCGCACGATACACCTACAAAATACAACTTTGCTGTAATATTTACCCATTTAACAGGAGTTCAGATTTGTATTTGTTTCCGTAAAATTTATCAAAAAAGATGGTACTCAAAAACGGAATATCATCATAATTCGTTGAAAAATAAAAACTTAGAAATTGATCACTTTGACAGTTTGAGGGTCACAGATAGGTGATGATGGTGAGATAAAGAAAACACCAATGTATATATAGTCTATACTAATATTATAAATGCGAAAGTAACTGTCTGTCTGTCTGTCTTTTCTTCACGCCTAAACTACTGAACCGATTTCTGTGACATTTGGTGCAGACAGTTTGGAACTCGAAGAAGGACATAAGATAGTTTTTATATCAGAAATCTGCAGGGAGTCACTATTTTATTCCAACGGATTTGCAGGCAAAATCTAGTATTAAATAATAAAAATAAATAATTTCACTCACCAATAACGCTAGTATGCGATCGAGTCGTGGCCGTTTCGTTCTAACACAGTCAGAACATAGGAATTTAGGTTCAGTGGTTGGGAAGCTGGACTCCACGCGTTCGGGGGACTCCTCACGTTCCTCTTTGTTCGCAGCTATACATGACGCTGCAGGAGGAAAGCAATAATTGAGTTTTAATTTTCTAAAATTTGGTAAAATGTGTTTGAATAGTATAAATAAATATATGGGCTCACCATGGAACCAGTCCTTGCAGAGCTCGCACTGCGTCATGACGCCGTACTGCCGCTTCTGGCACGTGCAGAACGTCACTCCCGCGCACACCGGCGCGCGGACCTCCTTGCGCTGGTTGCGCGCCCTGAAGGGATACCATTACATCCTCAATTATACTCAAACAATACAATACGCAAACACAATGTCACAAATAACAACAAGAGTCTTCATCTCACATTTCCTTGATTTTCAATATAAGAATCTTGTCATGGTTTGGATATGCTTGGACAACATGAAACTTCATGAAACCGAGAAGTGGGCAAAATTTATTACTGAGGATAACCCACACAACGTCTAAAGACGCCAAAGCAGGCCCGGAAGGGATAACGGGACAAACTTGACGTCTACGACAAGGATTGGTCGCAGAAGCTTTGTGCAGAGAAGAGTGTTTTAAGTGTGGGACATCCATGCTTCGAGACGAATGGCTCGGCTCGAATGGAGTAATACCACGGCCTCATAGAAAACCGGGGTAAAACAATAAAGGCGTTATGTTGAGGCCCAATTCTTCCCCTCTCCTAATCCTAAAATCTCTTAATCCCATCACATAAAAAAAGAGTGGAAGAAAGGTAGAGAGGCTTTTACCCTGCAGTGGGACGACAAAATTAAATTAAAATCTTATTAACTATAGTACCTTAAGTCCTTGATAGCTTGTAGTTCTTTTTGCTCAGCTTGTTTGAAGGCGGCGACAATGTCGGTGGGGGTGGAGTCCTCGCTGAAGTTGCGCAGGAACAGCCCCGCCTCCAGCGAGGAGGCGGGCTCCCCGTTGGCCCCGCCCGCCGCGCGCCCGCGACGCTTGCTTACCGTCTCGCCCACCTCCACGCGGGGAGACAGCGCTTCCAGTAGAGAGTATGGCCAGTTCTAGAAGATAATGAACAAAATAATGAACTTAGTATTTAATTGACTAATAACTTTATTTTTTACGGTATTTCATAACACAATTAACAATATGTGTGTGTATTTTTAAGTGTGGGAGAGCTATGCTTCGGCACGAATGGGTCGACTCGACCGGAGTGATACCACGGCCTCACAGAAAGTCGGCGTGAAATAACCAAAGAGTTGTGTTTCGCCGCGTGAGTGAGGTACCGGAGGCCCAATCCGTCAGCCAGGGTGTAGCGTACCTTCTTGAGGAACATGTCGGCGGCGCCCCGCTTCCAGGAGCGCGCGGAGTGCAGCGCCTGCGCGAGCTGGTCCTTCTCGTAGAGCTGCAGCGGGATGGCGGCCCCGCGCCGCACCACGCTCTCCACGCTGTGCATGTACGGGTACAGCTCCTTCGACTGCATCTCCTCCACCTGCACGACATTGTTTCCTTTATATTCCTTCAAGGAGGATATAACCACTAGATAGCTTATAGGCCGATTTCTTCTAAGAACACGACTCACTACCGCGGGCCGGGGGACGAGGAATAACGAGCGACTGCAATTGGTCAGTTCAAAGTTGCGTAGGTGTGGCTATCGTTAGGTGATGTGTGGAATGATCCACTTGATTTAAGGGAAAACAGCTAATATCGACAAAATGGTTTTATGGATGTTGACTATACATATGTATATCTATTCAAGTTCCAGAATCTTGCAGAATGTAAAATAAAAACATACAGGGACGTCAAATACAAATGGACAAAAGCATTAGAAATGCCTAGTGAAAGTAATGCCATCTTTTTTATCGTTTCTTACAGTCAAAGTTATAAATGTAGATTAATGCGGCCGATTCTTATACCGGATGTTATTTCAAAATCTAGCAAATATCAATATGATTTCTTCAAAGTTATACATAGTTTCTAAATTTATTTCAATACCAGTGACACAGTCAAAAGATCGCGAGAAAACCAAGACTTACAATTGGAGCTCATAAGTTTAAAATCGCCAATTTGCCTTGAGCAAGCGTAGTCATTAATACTGAAACGCACTCCATGTTAGAAAACGACTTCCACTCGGCACATAATATAGTGAAGGAACTAAGTGAAATAATATGCCTGAAATTCTAACAGTAACAAACAAATCTATCAATTAACCTGTAAAGATCTACATCCATTAAAATACGTAGTGTCCTGTAAAATCAACCCACCTTGCTTAACCAGTCTCTGGCATGTGAGACTGCAGTCTGCAAGGCATGGTACGATGGTAACGCGGCCTCAATCTCCTCTCCGTCCGTCAGCAACGTTTCCAACTCCGCCAACGTCGTGTACTGGGGATCTACCTCCGATGGAGGATTCTTTGTCGTGTCTACTAGGACCGCGCGGGCACGGTTCTCCCATTCATCTACTTGAGCTGTAAATAATGTTTTGACATTAGTGTATTATTAAGCGAGTGTACGGTAAATGTATTTTGGTTGTTGAATAAAAAAGAAAGGTGGTGAAAGTAATGCTGATCGAGAGGGGGCATCATAAGAATGGACGGCTTGTAAGGTATGGTACGAAGGGCAGTTTATAAGATTCATTCCAGTTTCGAGTAGCTGTGTCTTAACATTCTTCCAGTAATTTTATTTGAGTCGTAGAACTAACTTAGATATAGTAATTTCAAATGTAATATTTTAAATCCTAACACATTACAACATGTACTAGCACATACCTTTAAGACTATGCAGTTGAGCTCGCTCGGCCTCGATCCTGTGATGCGGCAGTACGTTGTCAGCCTGCTGCAGCAGTCGCTGGATGACCTCCGGAGTGAGGGTGGAGCAGTCCTCCCGGTAGGCGCGCACCTCGTCCAGGAACCGAGCCTGCTGCAGCCGGGACACCAGCGCCGGCAGGGCTGGCAGCACGATGCACAGCCGGGACCCCAGCTCTGATGTCTGGAACGACGTGGAATATTTTAGTAAGACTAACTATAGGCCAACTCAATCTACATATGTTCTGTATCAATTGGATATTCTTCATCCAAATGCGCGATAAATCTATCATAAGTTAAGCCTAAACATCATTAGATCGTCAGATGAAACATTACCTATAGAACAGTAATTGTTTTTAGGGGTGGGAAATAATGGCCTGTACCCTCACTTTTAACGAAGAGGCTTCCAGACCATTGATACATTACCAAATGTTCTAAGATTAGGCTACTGTAAACTCTTCAGTTATTCCATTCAAGTCTTTTACTATATTATTATAAGCTACAAACAGAGGCTGGCAATGGTTTGATGCAAAGAGCTAAAGAATAATCTCAATGACTATGGTAAAGGTGGATGTCAAGCTGTGAAATGTGTTAGTACTAGAATGGGTTAAAAAACTTACCTCTTCTAATTCTCTGACATATGCTTGGTCAGTTTTCTCCAGATCCTTGTTTAAAAGTTCAGAAGCACGGGTCTCGAATTCCGATGTCTGTCGGAGCACTTCCTTTACTGCTGAGCCTGATGACAAAGAATGTTCTGTTAATTTTGACTATTCATAACATAAAAAAAATCTAAATATTATGAAGAATACTAAGTAATTCCCCCCGCTATTTTTTAAGATTTTGACATTTTTATGGTGATTTTTTTAAATTGTAACTGTAATAATATTGTACTTTCATGTTGATGCGAGTCCGATCATCTAGAGATATTATTAAGAAACAATAATAATAACATTTTTCAAACAAGTTTTTAAGTGTAGGAGAATCACGCTTCGGCACGAATGGGTCGGCTCGACCGTAGTGATACCACAGCGTTACAGAAGACCGGCGTTAAACAATCATAGTGTTTTGTTACTTAAAAGGGAGTGGGATTACCGGATGCCCGATCATTCCCCTCACTAATCCCAAAATCTCCAAATACCTTTCCCTTGTAACTTCTCCGTTGTTGCAGGTGTCCACGGCCGGCGCTGTTTGCTTACTATCAGGTAAGCAAATTGCTCAACTGCCGTCTATCTTAAAAAAAAGCCACCGAAAACTTACCTTCAGGCAAGACACATGCGAGCCCGTCGATCTCCGCAGCAAAGAGCGTGAGTTCGTGTATAGTGAGGCGGTACTTGGGGTCGTGGTGCCGCGTGCGCGTGCGCATCTTGTTCAGGTCCAGCTGCTGGATCACGGACGCGCATTTCTCCGCGTCCTCTATTGCTGTCTCTAGCGCTCGCACTAGCTCTGTTTTGTGCATCTGTACAAACAATTCAAAGTTAGCTATGATTAGAAAATAATATTTTGTATATTTCAAACTATTGGGGAGGCCTATGTCCAGCAGTGGACGACAACAGGCTGATGATGATGATGATGATGATATTTCAAACAACATTCATCATTAGTGATGCTAGGATTAATTCAAAGAGCCGTGTGTGAGTGAAGTTACCAGAAGCCCAATCCCTGCCCCTCCCCTTCCCAATCCTTAAATATCCGAAACCATTATGTCTAAAAGGCCGGCAACACACTCGTAACTCCTTAAGTGTTGCCGTGGTGTCCATGAGCGGCACTGATTGCTTACCATCAAGTAATCCATCTGCTCGTTTGCCGACCTATACCATAACAAGAAGTTATGAAACAGCAAATATTGGATAGTTACCTTGAGATCATGCGCCCTCTTAAGATGCGCTCTCAAGCCGTCGAGGTCACAAGTCTTGGGTGTGTCGGGGTCTAACGCGTTCTGTACCGCCTCGGCCCATTCGCGGAACTGTTCCGATTTCTTCTTCAATTTTTCCAACATCGCTGGTAGCTCATCCAAGGTGTAGCGGTATCTGGAAATTGGATGGTTTTAATTATATTGTGAAGTTATATTTGAGTTGTTGATATAATGTGAAAGTTATTCGACATATTTTTTGTTGATTAATTGGAATTAATTAGATGAATTAGAATATATTGCTCAGTATAGTGTCCATTAAACTTACGATCATGGTTTAAAGCTAGTCAAGCATCTTTGATACGTTATTTCAGTATACGATTTTATTTTACTTAGATTTGAATGTTTATGTAAGGTTTTGTTTATTTTGCATACAATCAATTTCCTAGGTTAAACCTTACACTATTTGTAGCAGTTATTAAAAGTATATTTTTAAGGTTCACTTGTAAATATGGCTTTCCTTGGTGATTTAGTCGATGTAGATTTTAGGTGCATAAATTTAGCAATAAATATGAGTGTTGGGTACCTGAGTTTATGCATATGGGGCGGGCAGTGACAGAGCTGGGTGTAGTGGCGCAGACAGGCGACGCTGGGCGTGCAGGTGCATGCGACGCAGGAGAGGAAGCAGGTCGTCTTGCACAGCGTGCACTGCCGCTCGTCGTCCGACAGCAGCTCGAACGCCTCGCGCTCCGCCTCCGTCACTCCCTGGGGGGGGGGGGGAGTCGTTACTTATTATTATATCTATTAGACAAAAATTAATCGCAAGATGCGTTGGTAAGCGCATAACTCAACAACACCCTGACCAATTTAGTCAACTCTTTTTTTGTGTTTATAAGCTTCAGAAGAAGGTTCTAGAAAAGGAAAGTTTTTTTAAAGTAGAGCAAAAATCAAAAAATTGCTACCGGAAATAAAGATGTTACAGGTGCGAAGCGTGGGCGACTAGTATACTATAAAAATATGGTTTAGCATTGTCATAAAAAAGTTTTATTGTTTAGACACCGCCTTACTTTCAAGACGGAAAAGGTCTCAAATAAAAGTTACTTTTCTCATAACAACTAGACAAACTAACTTATTCTAGTTCCCAGTTCTTAACCATTGTAATGCCAACTCACCCAGTCCAGCAAGCCCTTCCTGAGTTTCCTCTCATCATGCAGCATAGTCCTCATGTCCCTGTAGGCAGCGAGTGCCACGGTGAGGCTGAGGGAATCCGCTTCCAACGCCATCTTGCAGACCAGCTCGTCGTGGGAGAACACACAGTTACGGCGTAACGTAGAGTAGTGAGCTATGCATTCTCGTCCCATTTTTAACTGTAGAGGAAAAAAAATTTTGTTACATAGTAAAGAGATTTGTCGATCATCTTCGCAATAGATCAGCATATTACAGTGACTGAGGTGGCTCTTATAGATTTAGGTTTCCTTAGTTTCAACACAAGAATCTGGAATCTATAGAAACAGAAAGTACCAGAAACTACTAGGTACTACTAGGTACCACAAAATATTTTTTCCATCATTACCTAAACCTAGTTAATTTCTTTCCATCATAATAGTAATACGGTGAATGTAACTTCTACTTAACTATACATTACATTCATTCAAAATGTTGTCAACAATTAATATTTCTTACCCAGTCAGCAGGTGTGAAATTGACAGCCTCAGCAAAGTTATATCCTTGGTTGAAACCAGCGTGGTAAGCCCGAGGGAACGTTATTACAAATTCGCCGGCATGTTGGTCCATCCTACAAACACAAAACCATATTTAATCGCATTTAAAAAACTGTAAAAATAATTGCGCAAAAGTTAACATTTTGCGCCATTTAGATATTATATATTACTATTTGCGCAACTTTGCGCTTAATAAACATTAAAATAGCCACATACTAAAGAATCACAAAAACACTTTTAACTTGCCTATAAACAGGAACTCCTGCCTTCATCAAGATATTAGGGTTCATGATGGTAACCAACTGATGCAGCAGATCTGGTTGCAGCTGGAACAGCTCGGGAGCCTCAGCCTTCATCGCGGCTTCGAATTGTTCCGCTTTTGAACTTGGTACTCCATACCTGAACACAAAACATAAAATGCGTGAAACACACAGCAATGAGGTCACATAAGGTTTTATTTATTAAGTTTACTTATTTATTTAAAAATAAGCACACCAACAATACAATCAAAAAACTCAATAATCATGTAATTGGATGCACAAGCAATTGTACAAATTACAGGTGTGCATGACGTTAAAAATGAAAGGTTATCGAAAAAAATTGGTTAAGTAATTTCAAGTTGTGTCGAGAAATGTTTTCTTTAAGACTTATTAAGTATCTACAGTTACACGTAACA